CGACACAGGAAAAAAAATATATATATATATTGTGACGTAGATGGCGCAACGGGAAGTAGGGGTCATGTGAACTCTGTGGTCTCGCGAGTGATGTCACATCCCCCCACTCCTTCCATCAGTACGCAGCGCTCGGTAAACACCCCCTCCCCCGCGTTGACGTAACGGAAGAGCAACTGTGTTAGGCAACCATTGCCGCGGTGACGTAACAAGGGATGCCGCGGTTGCTATGCAGCAATAAACAACTCGATAGCGTTACCAGCAACACCTGTAAACACGGCGACTAGGCTGAGGGTTTATAAGAGCACTACACTGCCTACAGAGTCAGTGAAATACGGTCGCGAGTCCCAAGGGGCTCGGACCCAAGAAAGACTGAGCTGGCAAGGGCCAGTAGCATGTAAATAAGACAGACCCGTCCTCTCGTCAGAGAGGACGCCCCACAAAGAAACAAAACCGTAACGTTCAACAATAATAAATATCTGGTCATGAGCCCCGGACGGGGCTCGACACCAAGACTCACTGACTGACTGAATGTCAGTCGCAATGTGACTTGGACTTGGACTAAGGAGTCAGTTGAAATATAGCAGCAGTCGCGGGAAGAAGAACCGAACACGTGGTTAGAAGATTTGATGTGATAATCTGTGATAGTGCATGATAACTGAGAAGTAAGCCAGTGAAGACTTACTGTGTGACTTAGACACTCTGTGTGTGCTGTAGTACAGTTATATTGGGAAAGAATTGTATAGCTCCCGCGTTATAAATACGTGAAGACTACTGAAGACGGGGGTACGCGGTAGCGTAGTGGTTAAGGCACTATGCTACAAGCCGGAAGGTCGCGGGTTCAAGTCCCGATGAGGTCATTGGAGTTTCTTTTATTGACCTAATGATTTTTCCTGGGGAGTGAAGCGCGGCCGGCGCGTAAGGCTGACAACCTTACCGCCATCTTTAAGCCGATTGTCTAGATAATGTGGGGCCCTTAACGTCTCACAACCCTATGGGCCTTCACGGCCTGTTACAGGGATAGCTTTACTTACTTATTTACTACTGAAGATAGAGTGAAGAGATTATTGTGCAGAGTGTATAAATTGGGTAAACCCGCAGCTGTGTTATAATTGATTGTAGTTACGATTTGTAGGTTGTTAAATAAACCAATTAACAATCTGAACGGCATCTTC